ATGACATTTTCATTAGTGAGGCTATGAAATTCCATGAGACTTTGGTGGTTAGAAAATTGGAAGAGGTTAAGAAAAAGAAAGTTTCACTCCAGCTGCATCTGGTATTTTTCCTGATATGTTAAAATAATGTCTTCTTTTCTTTTGTAAACTCAGTCTGATTTTTACACTTTGTGCTTTAAACATGCAAGTGTTAACTTTTGAATAAACTGATGCTGTTTTACTGTATTCTTTTACCTAATTCAAAGCTAATTTTATTCACAGTCTATCCAAGTAAAACCTTCTAATAAAAGTGTTTATAAGAGTTCACTAAATATTTACTACCGTATCCTATTAATTATTATTCAGCTGTTTTCTTCACTCATAATGGTAGGCATTGTTGTACAGATGCATGGGTGGAGAGATAGCTGCAGTATTGATTTTTAAATTCTTGATTTGGAGATGATAGATTCACGTCATTTTATTTTTCTGTATTTTACTGTAGCGTTGTTGTGCCCAGAGCTGCTTTTCATCCTCCAAAGTATCTGTTTTCCAGTCCTGCTTTCCCATTTTGTGGAGTGTTAGATAGCCTTTCCTACCTGCTAGTGGAGGTGCTCCCATTCTTGGAGAAGATTGTTGTTTAAATTAAATAAATTTTAGTAACCTCAACCAAATTTGTGTCTTACCAGGCAGTTGGTCAGTATCTTTAGAGAATAAACCAAAAGTAATCTCTTGCTGAATTTAGAACAGTTGTTTATCTCTGTATTTTGAGAACTTGGAGTGCTTCGTTCAAGGATTTATATTTTGGCCTAATGTATGTTTAGTCTGCTGAAGGATTAAAATTAAAAGCTCAGTCTGTGCATGAAGGCCAGTTAATGACTTGTGGAGACTAACAACCTACTTGAGGAAGGCTGTGCGCCATCATCTCTGAAGGAAGCTCTGAGCCATTTAAGCCAAGTCCTGCTTCATATGTGACAGATTATCAAGCTGTTCGTTTCTGTCTGCTTTTCCGGTTTTGGTCAAATTACAAGAGAGCTTTGAGGGAAAACATCTGGGTAACTTGGATGCTTTAGGTCCTCTAAACATGTATCTTTCTGGATAAAGCCTGACCAGAGGACAGAAATGGAATTAGAGGTGTTTCAGGGCAAACAAAGATCTGTACAAGGATGAGGTGACTTCTACTGTATCCAAAAGACCCAACTCAGGCAAACAGATGAACCAGGAAGGTTGCAGTTAGCAACACTGGGCCCTGTTCTCTGTCTTGCCTTTGCTACTACAATACGTGCCCCTACTTTCCACTTTTTTTCATGTCCACTTCCTTTTGTGTGGTACCAGCTTGTACCCAGCCCTGATGTCATCTGCGTTGGATGTTACCAAGCACTTAAAACTGAAATGAGTGTCAGTAACTTTGCAGATGTTTTGCTATTGATGTAGTAAGGGACTGAGTCTGAAGCTCTAGACATGACACTGGGAAACAGGCAGCCCCAAAATAAAACTAAAGCTAGTCCATGTTCTTGAGGTGTCTGTAATCTTTAGTGCATTGCTATTTTGCTTAAATGTTTCTCATAGACAAAATTAAATCAATATTAATTCAGCTGTGGTGTAGTACTGCTTGTCTGTCTGTAAGAGTTAATAAGTAAATGTCTTTCCTGAGTTTGAGTGTTTTATTCTATGAAAATTCTTCTGACTATTTAAAATTAGGCTATGGTCACCAGATTAAACCTAAGCACCTGCCACTGGTAGAAACTTGAGTATTTTGCTGTTTAGGTCACTTTATTTGTGAAATTTTTATTATGGCTCTTTTTCACAGAAGGAGTTGAAGTAATTAGTATTTGCTGTTGTTGCTGATTGTCATCCTGGAAAAGCTACAAATTGCATAATCAATACAGAATTAACACTAGACTTAAGTAAGATGGAGGCCAGTATTTTGAATGGAGAAGATTAAATATCTGATTTTTAGATAGAAAAACTGGGGGAATATTTGGTATATTCTTACAAGATTTTCCCCTTAATTTACCAATGTAATTGTGCTTTGTTATAAGTTTTATGTTACCTTTCAGAACTCTCTTTTAATTTTTACTGTGGCATCCAAGGATACAGAATTTAAGATGCAAGCAAGACCCTGACGCAGGAGGTTCCTAGCATTTTGAGTATTCATATGGATTAATTCTTAAATGTAAATCCATCAGCTATTAAAAAATGAAAGAAAATTCTTAAGTGGAGAGTCATTCACCTGTCCATTCCATTGCCAAATGGATGCAATGGATGGGAGTAGTCAGGGCTCCCTGACTATGTTGGAATTTTTTAAGCTTTTGAGGAAATTTCTGCTTTTAAAGCATCTCTGCCTTGCCTCCCAAAACTGTCAGTTTAGGAGCTATCAAATACAACTGAAATGTACAGCTGTAACAATACTGTGTAGCTGTTAGCATGATAGCTCTAAAGTGTCTTAAAGGGCACAGAGATTTTTGGTTTGACTTGATTGGATACATTTTTCCAATCATCCATCAAAACGAGTTAAAAAGCATGCCATTACTTCCTGCATAGATAGTGTTTAAGGCAATGATGTCTTGTCCTATGAATTTTCTTCCTCCTTACACGTTTTTGGCTTGTCTTCACTGGAAAATTGTGTTGGGTCATAACATGATCTCAAAGATCCATAATAACTACTCAGGTTGAACCCAATTCCACAAGCAGCTTAGGCATGGGTGAATGGTGTTGTCTGTGTGGAGTAAACTGTAAGCAAACCTCATAGGAGGCTGTCTGTGACTATCAGGTTCTGTACTAAATGTGTCACAGTCATTTATGTTGTCCACTGACTGTTTTTAAAGTGCTGTGTTTCTCTGAAGGACCTGACTAGGCAATATTCTTATTCTTTTGAATGAGTAACAGTATACATTCAAATTAAATTTCAAAACTGTCCTTAAAAGTTGCTTGTTACACTTGTGGCTTTGTTTGACTATCTTGCTCAGCTGTGGTAGTAAATAATGTTTCCTGTTCAATATGTAAGAGACTATAAAAATGTGTTTATCTCTTACAGTTTCTTTTAAGCTTTTTAAGAAATCCATGTTTCAGTGATCCTTGAGAATGAGACATAATACAGGGGAAATATGGAAATACTATTTTTTGATTAAGCAAGCTAGCTAAAATTTGACGAACATGAAGTTCACAAAGTATACATGAGCACAGTCACAATCTCATGTGCTGTAGAACAGCAAGGCCTCTATGCTTTGTTTCTGTCTTTGGTAGGCACCATAAGCATCAGTTTTCTCTCTTTATAGAAATTAGGACACTGTCTTTGTACAAGATGCAAATAATGCATTTTAAGTAACAGTGGCTTACATGTTGAGTACCGTGTTAGAGTTAAGACAAGAAATGTAAATATACAACCATAAAATCTATACTTAGCCATAACAGAATCATAGCTTTAAATGTGCTAATATTTAGAGATCAGCCCAGTCTTTGGCCTTCCAGTCTGAGTGGTGTTCTTGTAGGTGATAGTGAACATACTGCTGAGACATGCATCCTTTTTTGTTATGATTTCAGTGTAGATACTGAGGTGTGTGATTCATCACCACCTATCCTATTCCAGAGAAGTTTAGGTGAGATGTGAGAGACTGCTAATCTGGAGCATGTTTGTCCCTTTTGCATTTCACTTGCTCATTTTCCTTGTCTAAGTAGCAGAGCATGTTATAAGGTAAGGAAACTCTTTCTGAGCAATTGTAACAGAGGAGGCTTCAGTTTCACAATAAAGTGTTTTTTGAATGAGAAGCTATAATAAAAATATTTATTGAATTTCCCATTGCAGCTGCTAACCTTTTGTCCTTATAAATAATACTACACGTGGAGAGTAGGAATGAAATGAGGAATTAAATTGATTTGCCTAAACATTGTGTGATCCTTGACACTATGGTGATTCCTGCCCAGTGTCCTTGTGCTGCTCCACTGTAGGTACAATTTTACTGTTAGGCTTGCCTGTTACCTCCCTGCTCAGCATTATCTCTGGGGTTGACTAGGGCAGCAAATGGGACTGGGTCCCCTGGCCTTAGGAACTTGAATCTACCCTTAATGAGACTGATTCTGATTTCTTTCACTGTATGAGCAGAGATATGTGCGAAGGTATTTTGCTGCAACCTGTGATTAGATTTCGGGTGAGCTAACACAATGATTTTTAGCTTCTTTCTCTGGGAATTTAAATCTTCTATATTTTAGTTGCATTTCAGCTGTCCTAGTTTCTTGCAGCTGGCCTGAGAAGAAAAACAGTTGTGTTTAAGATACAGTTGTTTCATAGCATTTTTGTTTTATCTGGTACAGTGCCATCATGAACAGGGGCATGTGTAGGGAGGATTTCAAGGTAAGGAAATAGAAGCAGAGCCAATTTCATCTATCATGGGAATGTGAAAAGCAAGTTAAAGTGGGAAGAGGTGTCAGGCTTTTGTATCTATGTTTTCCTGGAGGTACTTGAATGACTGGCAAGTAATGGAGCAATAGGTGTTAGTTGAGTCCCTACAGAGTGCTGGTGCTAAAATAAAGAGCACAAAGTAGAAAACAGAGCAGGTTGGTGCTGTGTGAGGAAATGTGTGTGGTCTCTTCTTCTAGGCCTGCAGTTCTACTGCTCTGTGGGGTCTGCACTACCTGGAATCAAAAGCAACCTATCAGTTGGTTGTGACATGAATGATCACTATATTTTTCTGTAGTTGCACTAATTTTGTTACGAATTCCTGAATCGTACTTTCTGAAATAGCAGATTCATTACTGTATTTCATGCAGCAAATTAGTTTATCTAAATTAATAGAAAAGATGAAGCTTTCAAATATGCCAAGATATCTGGAGTATAAAATTACCCAGTCCTTGAAGAATCAAAAGCCATGCACTAAAAATATTTCTTTTTTTTTTTTTTTTTTTTTTTTAATATGTTTCTCTATAACGGTGCTTTTTTATCTACTTTCTGCTAGTCATATAAATAACATTGATGATAAGCTGATACTTTGATAAAAATATTTTTTTAATATGTGTTTTTCTTTCAGGGCAATTAAAGCATTTCAGGAGGCGCTTTATGTTGATCCCAGCTTTTGTCAAGCCAAGGAAATTCATTTGCGACTTGGGCTTATGTTCAAAGTGAACACAGACTATGAGTCTAGTTTAAAGGTAGGTTTAAGTCCTTTCAAATTGAATGAACATTTGTTACAAGTTGTGTTGCATCTTAAAACTGCAAGGAATGCATAAGCATATAGCAGTTGAATACTAACTGCTTTAGCAATAGAAGTGCTTCACTATGAAATATCTTCTGAAGACAGAATATGGGTAGGATCTGTGGTATGTTAGGTCCTAGAAATACTCAGAAAAGCCCAGGAAAATGAAAGAAGATGACTGATACTCCAGAAGATAAACAATTTGGTGTAGGGTTCTCATTAAAATAGTACATTCTGGGGGGAGGCTAAGGACATATATAAAGTTGTAGGAAGAAGAGAAGTATTAGCAGTTTTGGATTTCTCAGTTTTATTTCTTCTTTTTTTCCCCCAGCTGCCCTATTGTAAACTGAAAGTACTTAAAAACTATTAAAAATAGAAAGCTTTAATGCAGAATAATGTTCTCACACCAGTTTTTTTCATATAGTTTCTACTTTTCAAACAGTTGAACTTTCTTTTATTTCATTGTTTAAGAGTCAGCATCTAAAGCAACAAGTTCTGGCTAATCAGTTAGAAATGGTTTCTGTTAATACAGTACTTTCTTTCATCTGTACTCCTTCAAATTTTTTTACTGATTGCATTCTTTTTTGGTCTCCGATTGTGATTTGTCATTTTATCTCCCTCCATTCAGCATGTTTCCCATTTCCCCCCCCCCTTTCATTTCCTACTCTATCCCCATGTTTTTTCCTTCCTGACCTCTAAATTTAGGTGTGTGTGTCTTGGAAAAAAAGTGTTCTTTAACAGAGTTTCATGTACAGGGAAATACACCTGCAGGGCTGAGAACTTAGTAATTTGTAATTAAGTATAATTTATAAGCATCTTTCTACACATTAATCTCTCGTATAACTACAGAAATAATGAAATGTTTTGTTTTCAAGAATCTTGTGGCTTGCTTTTCCTAGCAGATTGTTTTCCTGGAAGTTAATCACAATCACATTGTCCAAGATTTGAAAGAGTAGGGTGTTACTCTCAAGTTTTCCTTTCAACATTGGTAATAATGGGAAGCACTTCTCTAATCAGGCTTCCTCTTTTCATCCAGAGTCAAAGCTTTCACCTACAGAGACAGGTAAAGTTGGAATTTGTGCTTAGAGAGGATGATACTGCACAGAAGTAAGAAACATTCAGTGCAATGAATGGCAAAAGAGAGCAAAGGGAGGTAGAGGTGAATCACTATGTTGGGAAGGAAATTATGTACAAAATTATGTACAAGGGTGTATTTCCTTATACTTTGGCATGGATTTAGTACCAGCTGTCATGATACATGGCAAATAGAAGACATGCTGAAGAAGGTACATTTTGAGTTTGTTTTTTTTAAAGAAGCCAGGGGCAAAACAGAAGAGTAAATTTACAAGGAGGTAGGAAGCTTGTAATCAAGTAATGGAAGGAACTTCTGTGTTTTAATAGAATAACTAGATCAAGAAATAAATAACCTTTTTCAGCTATACCATGAAATATGTAATTCTATCACTGAATCAAGTACTTAAATAGGTACTATAAAAATTCAATCTAAATAGTTTACTGTGTTTGATCTTCACAACTTCATAAAGGATTTTGAGGATACCAGATTTCGAGTTTTCAGTAGACCAGTTACACGTGGGAAAAACACCAAAGAAGTATTTTAGAAACAGAAAGAAATTACTCTTTTGTAATGCAGAATTATCATGATTCCATTGCTTTTATGTGCAATGTAATTAAGTCACTTAGGAAAACAAATAGCAGCAACAAAACCACCCTTGCCCTGGAGCAGAGTGAAGACCTCCAAAAGCACGATGAAATAAACATGACCGGGGTGGGTTTCCATTAAGTGTAGTTTCAAATTGTCCTTAAACCAATATAACTGCAGGTTGTTGCTAGAAGGGTGTCTTCATTATCCACCTTGCAATCCTGATTAGAATTGTTTGGTACCCTGTGTTGTCTTGAATCGAGTGTTTTTTAATTTTTTTTTTGCATCTGCAGACTGAGGTGGCTCAGAAGTGTGAACCAGCTCAGCTTGAGGTTGCCTAGTTGCTAGATCCAGTGCAAGGTAGATGTCAGGAGTGCATGAAAGGAAAGGAGGGGTAGAACAGCCTTATCCCCCTTCTGATGCAAAACATAGCATGAAATTCTACTCTGGAATCAGCTTAAATGCTTAAGGTAGAGTTTCTGGTTTGCTTCCTTTGCTATGGAGGTTGCAGTCCTTTGCAGGGAGCAACAGCAAGAAAGAAAAGACTCACTGGGGCAATCCACTCAGTCTCAAACAGCTTCATCTGTTTTCAGTTCGGCTCAGCTGTGGATTTAATGTGAAGTACTGAGACTGATCTTCTTTGTTTGGAAATAAAACATTACCCGTTTAAACATATCAGCTTATACATCAGAATATATCAACAAAGGAGTAGACTAAGTAGAACAAGCAAGACAGTAGCTTCAATAAAATCCAGTCAGATTGCTCCCTGATTTGGGGTTTAAGAAAACCATGGAGCCAGAATTCTTGTGGGTGACAAGAATGAGAGAAAAGTCAGGAAATACATCCTTAGTGAAGAGAATAAAATGAAGTGCTGATGTAGTAGTTATGCACAAGCATGGGGAGAACAAAATGAGGAAGATGTACAATGAAAGACTGCAGGAGGTTGTTTTCACAGAGTGTCTGTCTTGTTCTCAGAGACTGAATATCTGGTATCTTTGCAAGAGAAAGATAAGTAACCCAAAGTAAAGAAGAAACACAGTTGTCATGCCTTTTTTGACTTGCAAACCTTTTTTAAAGGTTCCAGGATTTTAAAGCATGGTTATGGGACTTAGGATCCAGCCTGCTGGTGACTGGCCTTGAGCACAGACCCTTACCCCAGGACTCTGTAACATAATATGTAGCTCAGTTTGAGCCTTCTGTTTTTACACTGAAGCAGAAAGTGGAAGTAACTTTTCATCTGTTACTCACTTGTGACTGTTCAGGATTTCACAGATTGTACCAACGTTGCATTAATGTACTTTAAAATATCATAATATTTTTTATGGTATTTAAACATTCATGTTAAGTCTGTAATTGCTAAGAATAAACCATTGCCAATAGATGAGTCATTGTCAGTAAGTCTTCAGGCAAAGGGGGAAGATGGGAGTCTGAAGGTCATATATTCCATGTTTTTCACAATTTCAGAGCATTAACATAAATAATTTATATTTTATGTAAGCAATTTAAGTGCAAAATTAATTTTTACTATTTTAAGATGTTGATGATCAAGATAATTACTGAGTGCTGTTTAACAAGCGTAAAATCAACTCAGTGTTTTTTCCAAATCAATTACTGCTTTTGCATGTTTTTAAGATTGCTGCAGTTAAGACTTGCAAATTACTACAAGAACCCTTGACTGCTCCATTATCCCATTGCCACAAACTCTGGCAAGAACTCTGGTGCTGTTGAAAATTACTTGGCCTTCAAGCTTACAATAAGGAGGGAAAAAAGTGACCCTTTGGATTGCAAAAAAAACAGTCCTCATGTAACCTGGCAGTTACAACAGTGTTACCTTCAGAGGTGATACATGAAAGCTGAATTTGCCCCGTTCATCAGAAAAGTATAATTAATTCCAAAATTAGCTGGCAATGACTTGGGGGAGAGGTGGTTTATTATTGATTACTGTAGAAGCAACATACTATTAAACTTTACCTCACAGTCTTAACCTTTTCACACTTTACTACATGTCCTACTGCCCTGTTCCTATTTGTCGTTTCCTACAAACAATATTAGAAATACGATGTTGATAATGTTAGCTGTGGTAGCACCACAATAATCTGAAAGGAGAATAAAGCAAGATTTCTAGGAAAGTAATATATCTTTTTATTGGTTTGGTAAATATAATTGGAAAAAATGGTCCAGCTTTTGAGTATGTGCCATGTTATTTCTGACATGTCACTTGCTATCCTGTCATTTTCCTATCCATTGAATCTATTTATTTCTGTTTTAGTCTCCTTTTTTTCATAAATGTGTGTAATCATCCTGTGTCGTGCATGTGTCTCAGTTCTTCTCTTAAATACTTTTGAATTTTAACCAATTCTAGTAAATAAGTCAAAATGAAAGAGATTTCAAAGACAAATTTGTAGAACATGCCAGTTCGACATGTTGCCCTGGAGCCATTTGAGCTCTGCAAGATAAGAACCAGGTGATTTGGTTGATTTGCAACAGAGGAACCAACTTAGTGGTCATGGGTCTGCTCTGTTGAGAAGAAAATTCCTGTGAAAGGAGCTGTCCCATCCACACAGGAGTCCTTGTTCATCCGGCAGCCCCCATGCCTTTTGTCCAGGTGAAAGCTAAATGCACAGCTAGGTAGACCACAAAGGGGGAGCTGGGTATGCTGTTGTGGGACCATTGGTATGCATAAAATAGAAGCTGAGGAAAAAAGAAAAATTACTGCTTTGGTGTGATTTAGTTTAATAATTAGGTTACATTGGAAATGGCAGGTACAGGAAACCAGTCTTTCATCTGGTGCTCATTCTGCTTGGTGGTGTAAAGTATCGCAGTGTGCTTTCAGTGAGAGTTAGGGGTACAATCCTGAATGCCCTTTGAATGAAAAATTCAGTTTACTTCCATTGTTTGCTGACAGACTTAAGGGAAAAATAGAAATCTTAGTTTTTCATACTAGTTAGAATAATAACATTGAGAGAACTGTGGGTGGAAGATTTTCTGTGGTTTGGTTTTGTGACAGGGTGTTTTGTTTGCTTTTGTTCGGGAGTTTTTTGTTGGTGAATTGTTTGGGTTTTTTGTAATAGGGGGTCAGCAGGGACTCTGGACACGCGAGCAGGTTATTTTATGGCAAACCAAGCTAGGTTGTGCTTTGGGAATTTTGTTTGGTTTTAAGTATTGCAGATGTATCACGTACCCAGTAACAAATCACTTAGAAGAATGAGAAAGAATGTTTTCAATTATCTGCATTTTAGTAGAAATACTGGTTCTGCCTTTCACTTTTAGAAGTTTTTCCTCCTTACTTACACACA